AAATAGTGAAGGATACATTAGCGATTTGGAATCAAGACTGAAAGGAAGTGAGGAACAAGTTGAAAAATTCAGTAAAACTATTGAAAGACTCGAAAAAAGGTTGGAAGAACGCGAAGCAGCATACATGGAATTAGAAGAAAGAACGAAGATTTCTCTAGAGGAAAATCAAAAATTATTGGCCCATGAAATTCAAGATAGAGATCGAAGAATCATGAAACTTGAAAAGAAAGCTGATGATTTAGTACGCGAATTGGAACTGCTAAGAAGACTTAGATCTCATGAAAATGAGTTTCCTGATTGTGGTCGGTCACTTTCTCCTACTTCTTTAGAAGATTATATTAAAAAACCAGAACAAATCATTGTGGCCACATTGGAATCCAAATTATTGAATTTACAAGAAACTCATTCAAAAACAGTTACAGAGTATTCAGAAATTAAATCAAAATATGAGGAATGTCTGTATGAAATTCATGAACTTCAACAGCAGCTAACGGAAGTAAAACTTCGTCAAACTGACATCTTTGATTCTGATTCTAAATCTTCCACTCCTTCAACTCCGACATCACCTACAACACCAATAACATCAAAATCTCGGTTTCACAACTTAAAACGTAATATTAATTCAGATCGAATGTCTTTACCTCCAATTTTAAATTCAATCGAACCCAGTAATAAAGGTACTGCATCTCCAAAACACGCTAACCATCGTAGGGCTAAATCTTTAACTGAAGAAATTAAAGATAAAGAGAAACGCGATCAAACTCACGCTGAAATAGTACAAAAATTACAGCGCGAATTAAAACAGCTTGAATTACTTCATCGAGACAAATCACAAGGATTAGATGCTGTTAAACAAGAATTCGCAAGGTTACATTGTACTCATCGCGAAGCTTTGGAGATAGTTGAAGAATTAAAAGAAGAAATCAAAAGGCGCGATGTTATAGTACAGTCTGATGATATATCCGTTATCGCTAGTGAATATACTGATGGTGTTTGTAGTGCAGCAACTAGTGAATTAGATGAGCATGAAATTAGAGAAGTTGAACACAACGATAAAAACCTTGAAATTCAACTTAACGAAGCAAAAGAGTCTATTTCCATGATTGCAGATCCAACACAGAAAACTATTGATATGCTCGAGGCAAATCTTTTAGCTTTACAACAAGAATTATCTAGTAAATCTGACTTAATTGAGAATTTAACCAGCGAAACAGAATTAGTTGTAGAGTTACGATCACGGCTTGAGACGCTAAAATTAGACATTAATAGTAAACATGAGCTCATTGAAGCGATGAAGAAAGATTTATCCGATAAAAGTATTATACAACAAAAGCTCTTGGAAAAGGAAGCCGAAGCTACTGCTTTGAGACTCCAGCTTTCTGAAATCATGAAACGAGAAGAAGAAATACAAACACAAATAAAAGAACTTCACGAAACTGCACAAGTCCAAGAACAAGCACTCATAGAATTGAATCTTTTAAAAAAAGATTTTGGTGCGAAAAATGAACTTATAACTACTCTTGAAGGGGAACTTCAAGAAACCACTCAAGTCAAAGAACAAACACTCACGGAATTAAATCTTTTAAAAAAAGATTTTGGCGCACAAAAGGAACTTGTAATCACTCTAGAAGGAGAACTAAAGCAAGTGAGAGAGGAGTTAACTAAATCTAAGCAAGACAATCAAGAAGTTGCCAAGAAACTTGAAGATTTATCTAAACTACTAAGTGACACCTTGAAACAACGAGATGAAGGAGAGAATAGAATTCAAGTTTTGGAAATTCAACTTCAGGAATTGTCCGCATCAAACGAAGCTAACGAACAAGAGGCTTCTATTCTTCGAGAAGAATTATTCAATGCCAAACATAAAATGAACGCACAGAATCATCTTTTAGCAGAATTAGGAACTCAAATGATGGCAGCAGAACAGGAACGTGACCAATACTTTAAACGTGAAAAGGAATTAATCATGGAGCTTGAGGCCAAAGAAACTGAACAAAAGGCGGCTATTGCTACACTTGAATCAATTATCTCCTCATTGCAAGAAGAGCTTTTTGAAGCAAAAAATTCATCCCAGATGGATTTAGACACGATAGCTAAACTTAGAGATAGCCTTGCTACTGTAGAATCACAGTTAATCGAGGCAAAAAAGCAAGATGAGAGTCGTTCAAAAGTTGTAATTGGACTTGAAGTCAAGTTGAAAGAAACTAATGCCGCTATATTAGAAAAGGAACAATTGCTTTCCACTAAAGATGCTCTTCTCAGAGAATTAGAAGCTTCAACAGAGAAAGCCAAAATTCAGCTTGATAATGCAAGAATTTCAGAAGCCATCGAATGTGAACGTGTTAATGAGCTTGAAGTTAAACTTTATGGTATTCAAACCAAACTCCGTGAATGTGTATCATCTGAGCTTGTTATGGAATTAGAAGTTAAAGTAGTAAATCCTGATGGTGACTTATCAACTAAAGCAGAATATGTCGAATTGAAAGCTTCCTTAGTTAAAGTTAAAGCTGAACTTGAAGAAGCTAGGGCAGCAGCAGCAGAGCAAACCAATCTCATTAAGACTTTGGAACTTCAAATTCAAGAGGCTGAAAAACGTCATGATGAAGCAAGTTCTAAAGTTAAAGATGCTGCAGAAGAAATTAATAAGCTTAAAGAAAAATGTATAAATTTACAAGCTGAACTTGACGATGCATACAAAGATGCTTTAATCCATGGTTTCCAAAAAGTTGATATTTCCATAGTCGAAGATCTTAATAAACAACTTAAGAAGGCACGTAATGAATCTAAAACATATCAGGAACGTGTTGATAAATTAGAAGAGATGAATCAAAAACTTGAATCTGATAAGAAAGGACAAGAAAAAGCCAACGAAGAACTTATAAAACAGATTGAAAGACTTCAAAAGGAACTAGAATCTTTAGCTGGAGATTTTGCTGATTCTACAATGAAATATGGAGATACCGGAGAACTTTTGCAAAAGCAAAAGAAACAAATTGATGGACTAGATAGTTCTCTCATAGAAATAAAGAATTTGAGAGAGGTTTATTCTTCACCAACAAGCGAGGCTTCGTTAAGAGATACAATTACAAGTCCTGCCCTCTCAAAATTATCTTCTACAAATGAAATTTTACGACAAACAAATGAGAATCTAAATGCTAAAATTCTCCAAGCTCAATCTCGTATGTCTGTTTTAACGCAGAAAATAAAATCACTTGAAAGTGAACTCAAAACACTTCAATATGTTAGTAAAGATGATGTTTCCGGAAATTCCATTTTGAGATTTAAAGAAAAAATACAAGAACTTGAAGCTGAAAAAGAAGGATTAGAACAAGCTAACTTGGCATTCTGTGAAGAACGAAAAAAACTTGACCAAAAAATTGATTCTTTACTACAACAATTGCAATCGGTGGGTGAAGGTGGAAATGAGGCAGCTACACAACTTTCAGAGTTAAATGTAAAGATTTCTGAATTAGAAAATGAAGTTTCTTGTTTGAAACAAAAATCTGTAGAAGAGCATCAGGGAATGGAAAAGGAAATCACACGATTGACTGAAGTTAACCAGAGGCTTGAAAAAGAAATGACTCAAGTTGGACTTAAATCGTTAAAAGGACCTTTAGGAAATATTTCACCACATATTGGTGCACGTTCTCAAAGTTTAGATAATTCTATACATTCTAAACTCTTAAGACAAGAAAGTACTATTATTCAACAAACTAGTTTAATTAAAGCATTACAAGAAAAAATAATTGAATTAGAATCACGTAGTGATGAAGACTCATTGCATGAAATATCACTTGCTAGTGGAATGTTTGCTACGGATCTTGATGCAGTTGGTGGATTCCGACTTTCCACTATGTCAGTAATGTCAAATGCCTCAGACGCGGCTAGGAAAAAACGACCAGGAGTCGCGGCCATAGCGAACCAACCAATGACACCACCACCTACACCACCACCTGGCCATCCTTTACCATCAGCACCCCCAACTTCAGGTTCAAGGTCGTCAACTCCTGGGTGTGCATCACCGACTCCACGAATCCCTCTTTCATCTTCTCGACCGAACTCAAGAAACGGTTTGAATATAGACCTTTCTAATACACCAGCAGTAGAACTTACAGTGGAAATACATAAATTACATAGAAAGGTTGCAAAAATGGAAGGGGAAAGCATCGAACATCGACAACTTGTTGAAACGTTGGAAAATTCATTATCAGAAAACGAGACGAATCTTCGTGTTGCAAAACAACAATTACAAATATTACAACGTGAAAAAATGGATTTAGTGGATCAGATTAAACGACTGAGATCACAATTAGATGAAACTACAGCACAATATGAAAATGCAAAGTCATCTGTGCAAGAAGAAAAGAAAGTTATAGAAATTGTTTTGGAAGAAGAAAGAAAGGCTAAAGAGAAGGCGGAGATAGCAAGAAGACAACTAGAAAATCGTATGGAAGAGCTTATGGCAAAGAAAAGCAAGTTCATGTGTTTCTAAGAACTTTTTGATATTAGATGTTATCTGAACATTTATATAACCAATTATTATCTCGTTTTTTATATTAATGTATTGAAATTTTATTTTTGAGTATGAAACACATAATATTTGTATAAAATTTATATATATAGTCATTTTTATCATTAGCAAAGATTATGTAGGCATTAATACATTTTTTTTTTTACTTATTCATGTTCATTATTCAAATTGCACTGTTCTACATAATTCATATACGTATTTATGTTTGAACTATTCATTTCATCTATTTATTATTTATTCTTTTTACTTATATGGAGCTTTTTCTTTTTTTTTCTCTTTATGTTTTCTCCGACAATCAATAAAAAAGCCTTTGATTTGTACAGTAAAGCTGTAAATTTTGAATATATCGTGTATTATTTTGGTCTTTTTTTTAAGTTTACGTATTAACAAATATCCCATTTTATTATATATTAAACTACAATTGGTAAGCTTAATAGTCTCATTCTATAATTTTAACCACCTATATTACCATAACTAACTGTATCTATTTAAGTCTAATCTTAATAACTTAAAACTATCTGTTTTATCATTCTAAGTCTGATAAATTTTCGCCGTTAACAATAACATCAACTTGATTGTCGACAATATCATCATCCCAAACATGTTGTAAAAATAATGATTCATTATGCTTTTTAACTGGCGTGCCACCTGTAAGCTTTAAAACTGTTACACCATGTTTTGGAACTCTCGATATGTAACTAATAATTGTTTGTATCATATTATTAAAGTCAATAATGAATCATAATACGGTAATTAAAATTTTGATAATAAAGGAAACAAACCTTCTTGTAAAAATTCCCTTATCAGCATGTTCCCAAAGATCTCGAACTGTAATTTCACCATCAAGATTACAATGAGATGCAAAATGTAATGTAATTACTTGTGGAATTTCTCCACGATTAAAAAGAACTATTACAAATATGTGGAAGATATTAATTGAGGATCAAATAATAAAATAGTGAATTATTAATATATTAATTATATCCTAAAAACATACCTGCAACATAACCATCACTGAGCGGTCCGGTCCAGATATCATAAAAAAGTGTGCGATGAACGATGGATACGGATTTTCCAAGGGGATCTTGCTATTATATGATTGAATTATATTATCTTAGATGATTAATAGTACTATGATAATTATAAAAAAGACACAAGTTAAACCTACATTCACAGCTATGATTTCCTCATTTAACACCAATGCTTTTGCATCCGCAGGTGGATTTATTATCTATAAACATATAACACATATCGGGTTACTAAAAACTTCAAATGTATAGGTTAATTTATGAAAATGAAACTTACATCAAACCCAAGTATTAAGGGTGCTTTCAAAGCAGCCCAAATAGAAAAATGACTTCTTTGTTCATCTAAAGTAAGATGACCGTTACCTACTTGAAGCATATCAGGATCATTCCAACCTCCTGGTCCCGCATATTTAGTAATCATTTGTTGCTTTTGTATAATTGATGTAATAGACACCCAGGACGCTCTAATATCATTAGTCGTTCTCCAGCTATAGTTTGTATAAGGATTACTTATTGCACTTATTGCGTTTAAATGTAATCGTAAACTTATTAGAGGAATGAAAAAAATACCTATTGCCAACTTCTCTAGCCCAAAGGAAAGGTTTGCTTTTTCTAGTATGTGATAATATGAAAATATGGATTAGTAGTGTGACTTTGACTTGCGAACTAAACCGAACTTTCACCCTGATAAACTTAATTTTGCTAGACGAAACGTTTCGGGACTCGAAAAATAATTAGCCTTATATAACGTTGTTACAGCTTAACCGAAACGTTTAGCCTTATATTCTTTAGACGAAAGATTTCGGAATCTGAAAACACATCAACTGTAAACTAACTTCAACATTGCGGTATTTTAATCTCCTTACCCCCATTCACATATACTATAGAAAATTGGCCTTCCAGTTTCTATAAAATAAGTATGTTAATTTAATAAAGTTTATATCATCTCTTCTATTCATATTGACACAAGATTCGTGATTTTACTATTAAGTTCTCTTCCCATTGCCTAATAAAGAACATAAATATTAGTATAACATTAAAATATGAATCCATTAAAATATGACATACCTCATAGCGATCTTTCTCTGGTGAACCATCATTATGGCAATTATCATATTTTAGAAAGTCGATTCCCCATTCGGCAAATTTTTCCGCATCCTGTTTCTCGTAACCTATATAATTACATATGATTGCTTACATTGAAACATATATTAAAAAAAAAAAAAAAATCTGAAATTAGTTGAGAGAAAAAATTACCAAGAGATCCAATGCGCCTAGCACAAGTTAAACGTCCGGCATCACTATAGATCCCAAATAATAATCCTTTTGAATGTGCATAATCCGCAAGGGCTTAAATAAATAAATATTGTCAAGGTTAATCATACATTCATATGTAATAGTGTTTCATGTAAATCTGCCAATATATGCTATATTCAAAAATGCACAAATTACGTTTAATGCCGCCAGGAAAACTTAATTACGAGGAAATTTTTATTAATAAAATACCAAAAAATTCATTTTTTTTTAAAATAAAATAATATATCAAAGCTTACGTTTTTGGATCCGTATTGATATACCCATTTTTATCTCTGTTTCCTTCCCAACAATCATCTATGAATCAAAAAGAATTCGTAAAATAATGTGATAATATATAACGTTTATTCAGTTTGAGATTATCGAATCAATAAACTCACCCAAATTTAAATAGTTATAACCAGCTTTCAAGAACCCTAAATCAACCATAGCATCGGCGGCATCTTTAAGCAAATTTTCATTAACACCGCATTGAAACTTTTAAAATATTAAATTTAAATTTTTTTTTTTTTTGATAACCTGTTTATTGAAAAACAAAAGAATTAAAACAAATATCTACATGATTCCAAGTACTCCATCCCATAGGAGGCGTCCTGCCAAGTCCATTCTCTAAACCATAAGAAAAGGTAATAAAGGCGATAACAAAAATCGCAGACCACATTATTGGAATACGAAGGAAAACTTGTGAATTCTGCCAAAAAAAAATCGTCCCAATGATTGAGGCAAAATTCCAAAATAAATAAAAATTGACAATAATATACTACAATCATAATTAATACCCTATCGGAGTTAAGAGACACAATTACCCATATACTGCAAAGTGTGTTACATATAAAAATAATGTTTCTTCCAATTTGGATAGAAACATCAAAGTACAGACGTATGTACGTACGTTCGTACTGTATATTTTTGATGTTCTAAGCCTTTTTTAGCTTGCTCTACCAAGGTCCATGTATTTCCAAACTTTTTTTTTTTTAAAAAAAACTAATTAAAAATCTACATACTCAGGTCATCAGAACGAGTTATTGTAATAAAAAATTTTGAGATGTTACGTAGTGTACTATGCTAAAATTGTCCATTACGTATGTAGATTAAGATAAATGCGGTTAGCATTAAAATCTTACATGCTTTTAAGGAATAAAAACTCTACTTCGACAATGGAACTAAAACCTTTCAAAAGTAACAGGAAATACCTGTTTATGTATAATAAGTGATTTACAGATTTAATTTACTAATGCTAAGACTAATATGTAAAAATCTGCGATACCATATCCTCCCTGACTCTCGCTATTATCCCAAAAAGGAAATAATAACCTGATTTTTTGATGGCTTACATATCAGGGAAGATGTCATAAATTACCATAAACTTATATGAATTTACTATAAATTTTAAACTCAAGATCCTTTTCCATTTACAAATTAAATTATTTTTGAATTTTGAGATTAAACTTATCGAAAATAGTAGAATAAAATCACTTAGATCGATTATACCTTTTCGCAATTGAGTCTACACATCATGTGAAGTATAGTTTATTTGTTGATGCGCAGTTTTATAGTATGCATAAAATATCATTTATTATGCAGGTTTTGTGTAACAATCTATACTTGAAAGTAGGGATGGTAAAAAAAAAAACATTTTTACTATTTTAAAACATGCGATTATTATGAAACATCACATATTTTAAAACGGGAAAAAAATGTTTTTTTATCATCCCTACTTGGAAGCAATTATTGTTTTGCGTAACTATTATTGATTATAACTCAATTGTTAATAAGATAATTCTATTATCACAAGTTAATTGAAATTACTATTAAATACAAGAATGTATCTGTAATACGACATATTTAAGGATATATCATGAAAAAATATAATTCTTGGTATTATCGTTTCTTAATCTTAATTAGTCTTTTTAGTATTTAAATTTATAACAATAGTACTTAATATATTAAAATAGTTGTATATTTTAAAATTTTGTTATGTTATTTTTCAAATAAATAAATATGTATTTGTTAAAAAGATTTTTTAATAGGAATAAATTTAAATTAATGGATTTTATAATTTTTTTTACTTATGTAACGTATCATTAATTATAAGATCCTATGTAATATTGAAACAAATGACAATAATAATAATATGTTGATTTAAGGTTAAAATCAGTATTAAATTAAAATTAAATGTAATTTTAGTAGTGTTTCTGCTTCAAAATTTTACAAGAAAAATTTTTAGTTAGAACTTAAAAGGTATTTTATAGACAAGTTCTTGAGTTTTAAATAATTTTTTATATTTGTTTCAATTTCTTATTGCACCTGATTTTATATTCTAATTGGTTTGTTTAAAGTAATAAGACATTACTATAGAGATAAATTAAATTAATAAGCATAAATAAAAATTGACAATTTATTAATTGAGTCAAAATCTACAATATATTAGAATTTAAAATTTATGCATAATAAAATCATATTTTCTTTTTTACTTTAACAACAAAAAGTAAATTTTAATTTTTAATTTTTTATAATACATATCATATTAAAAATTTTATTTATTTAAATTTTAAAAGATTATATATATTGAAATACAATTGGATGATAATAATTCAAATAGTGAACAAAATTATATAAATGATAAACTTAATAATATTTCAGTAATTGATTTAATATTAAGTTCTGAAAGTTTACAAAGTAATAATTTTAAAGTTAGTATAACTTATATAATAAATATAAAATTAGTTTATATAAATATCACTTAAAAAAATTATTTATTAAGTTTAAAAATTTAAGTTTAAATAATAAATTTTTTAGTAATACTTACTTTATAATTTATTTAACTATATTTTAATTTTATTTAGCATAAAGTTAAAACTATTAATAATATTAATTATAGATCATATCATTATTTTTAATAGATCATATCATTATTTTTAATACATCATATTTTATAAAATAAATTAAAAAGCTTATTAATAATATTAAATTTAATGACTGTTATTTTAAACTAT